TGAACTACTAAGGCAGCATGCGGCCAAGCTTTCCTTCGTCTGGCTACGCCATTGTGTCTCTTCAGCTGGAGACTACAACGATAGACGCATTACTAGCTGAAGCTAGAACACGTACATACACTCCTGTTTTTCGAGAAGTTGGCGGCGCTAGTGATGACCCATTTCAGAGCCAGTCGCGCGTGGTGCGCATGACCTCTACACTGCGTGCTGCTGCTAAATCAATTCAAGAGGTGTTTCCTTGACCGGAAGCACCTGCATCGTCCCCTGGCAATATAGAGCGAAATATGCCTGCCAGGACTACCAGCTGCTGTGCCAAACCTCCTGCGGATCCACAGCCACAAGACTAACGTCACTTCTCAGCTCCTCCTATGCACCGCTAACATCTGATACCGAGTGACGTACTGCTTCTCCATCCTCGTCCTCTCTGCCATCAGTGCTGCCGGAACTGTTACGTCCGTCATCATCGTCCTGGTTGCCGGGATCAGTGCCGCCGTCATTTTTTTTGGCTACTGTGCTCATTACTGTCGTCATTTGGCTGCTCGTCGACTTCCAAAAGGGCTGCATCAACACGCAGCGTGTCCGAGAGGCCAGGCCCCCAGCCCTGTAGAGAGGTTCCAAGTCTAACCGCGCGCGCCGTGGCCGCGTCTGCGTCGCCACCGCCGACTCCTACGTCCATTTGAGCATGAAACGGGAAAAGTGATAATGGGAGATTGGAGGTTGGGGGTCGTCCTCGATTGGAATTACCCATCGATCGAACCTAGCCGAATGTAATGAATTTTATTTTTCAAATCATGGACACTACATTTTCAGTACTATAGTACTGGCCTCCAACAGTTCCGTTTGGCAAAAAATGGTTGTACCCAACGAACCCTTTCGTGGTAGCCTTTAGGCCCATTCCCAAGCGGCCGCGCCGCATAGCACTTTTATGCTCATGCGGCCGCACCGGTTGGGAAAGACCAGTGCGGCCGATTTTAGTGAGTAAGCTCATTGGTCGGTTCGTTACAGTTGTTGAAGAGGCACGTCCAAGAAGATAAGTGGACGGCACAGAGAAGACAATTGATCGGTATGAATTTTTAAGACGGAAAAAGCACCAGCAATCGCGCTACTACTCTACCTGGAAGTTTGACAAATCACCAGCCTCGACAATCAGTGCTGCTACCCCAGAAGCAAATACCTCGTTTAGAGCACTAATGAGCCGCCCTTTGCTTCCGGCTGATTCGCAGACGAATGCCAGTGCACCCACACTCCAACCATCCCCTCTTACACCGTACATAGCAGCTGCTCAGTCTACAGAAGCACCAAACTACTGTCATCCGCTGTTATCGCATATACGACACGATGTAGACTCGGACAGTTCTGAAGATAGTCTCATTCTTGCGTCGAATACTGGTAGTTCTCATACAAATACTGAGGAACATACAGTTGATGCATCGTCCACTGCAAATTCGACTAGCCCGAATCTAAACTACAAAACTTGGAAGGCAGAAGAGATCCGAAAAGAGTGTACTCGTCGTGGGCTTCGGCTTAAGTCTGGCATGCGATAACAAGAACGCATTGAAGCACTGGAGAGGTACGATGCCGCGATTCGAGTGTACACACAGAAGCTCCCTGGAGGTGACGTCCAGATAGTCACCGAAGATTCGACACGTAGCAGGCACTGTATGTTTCGCTTGATAAACATTTTGTTTAGCGATGAGTTTGCAACAAGGTTTGCCAGAACAGGTACTATATACAAATTTCACATACAAATAATTATCTGACGAGAAATGGCCTACACCCCAGGTGATACGGCTACACGAGCTGACTTGGATGGTAAACTGCTTAATGATCGCAGTGATTTCTGGACAGAAGTCCGTAAAGCTTTCGTGGGCGCTTGCCCTACGGACCATGAGCGCGATCGGTTGGAATTCGACGACGACGACGACTTCCTCACTGGGATCAATCCAGCGCTAGCAAAAACTGTTCACTCATCTAGAAAGCTGTACAGCATGTGGAAAGAAGTTAACAGAAGCTACCTCGAAGCCCATACGAAGTTTTCAGCTTGAGGGCAAAATGATAACGAGTTTCGCAGCTATGTGAAAGGCCGTGGAGACGTGTTATACCTGCGTAAGTGGCTTTCGGTAAGTAAACTACGAATAAACAGGAGCGCCAGACCTTTTGCTAATTGTTATTTACTATGCAATAGAAAAAACCTGGCCAGAATAACTTTGTCAAGGGTGGTTTGCTGGCAAGCGATAAGGTCGATACACAGGATCCCACTATACTGACCGGCGCGCGAGTACTCGACATAACTCCATCAAAGCGAAAGAGTCATGAAGCTTTAGAAGAAATGGCTTCATCTTTCAAATTGTACGTCCAGGACAGAAAGGAGGAGGCACAGAGAGAAACGGAGGAAAGAAAAGAAGAGGCTCTCAGAGTATCCCGCTCAAGCCAACTTGAGGAACGGTCCAAGATCTATGACATGCTTGAAAGAGTTCGCGGTCAAATTCGTGAACTTAACAAGGATCTGGCATCACCAGACACGTTAAACACAGGAGATGCAGATCTTTTACAAAAGGACAGAGCTCTGCTTATGGAAGAACGGAACCGTCTCAGTATCGAGCTGCAGAAGACGTACTTGTAGATATCTTTTTAATCTAGCTCTGGGTATTAAGACGGCGACTTACATTGTGAGCAGGTCGATTTAAATTGAGAGACTGTATATGCTGCATCACGACTACCCGGGTCATTTCATCCATAAGTTCTATGTGTCTTCCACCGCTGAATTAATATCTTGTGTGAAGATAAGAAAAATCTCGTGAGTCATTCCAAGTGCGAATTTCACGACGCTTTAACTTTATCGTTTGCTTTGGCCCCATAGGATTTTCAATTAAATGCTGATCAATACAGAAATTATGCAATCGCATGCAAGTATGAATTACGTGTCCGCTGTTGGCAAGGCGGACACTCATAGACCGCTTGAAAATTCTCCACTTGTTCACAAGCAATCCAAAAGCCATTTCAATCCGAAGGCGGCACTGACTTAAGAAAAAATTGTAACTGTCTCTGTCCAAGCGTCCACTGGTCTGCGCCTGATTAAATGGTGTTAAAACGACTCTGGTTTGAGGGTAGGCATTATCGGCGACCTTGAGCAAGCGTTTTGCTTAGCGACCACTGCGAAAATTCCACAGAGTCGTTCCTTCCCCCTGGAGCTCGACAAGCCATCGCTGTAAAGCGACTTTTATGATCACAACATGCTTGAACATTGAGTCCGTAACGCTGATAATGCCCAGAAAAAATGCAACTACGCGTTCACATTCGCTTTTACGAAGTACTCTTATAGGACATAGCCAGCCGTCTATGGCGCCAATGCATCCAGGGATGGCACCACCAGTACTCAAACTACGAAAAACCTGCCGCACTTAATTCCATAGCGTCATCACTTTCAGAGAATTCCAGGGCCAGTTGTACGCAAGTGTTGATAGCTCTTATAACTGCATGAACGATGCGATAAAAACCTGATCGACTAGTCCCCGTGATGATACGAATTTGATGAAAGCTACCTCCAGCTAGCCAGCTGATACATGCTTGTAGCATGGCTGCTGGAGATACGGGAGGCTCGCCACGTGATCGCCGTGCGGACTGAAACCGGTCAACAGAGAGTTGCCCAGCAATTAAAGTAAGAAGACGCTCAAAAGCGCCGAAGCTCATACGGTAGTATTGCTTGAATTCTCCTTCCACGATGAGAAATTGTGCATGGACATCCCAATCCAGTCGTTTCCGGACGACTTCACTGTCTCCCCTTGAGTTGGTGCAATGTTGTGCAATCATATTCATCACTGGCCCCAGCACTATTGTACAGAACGCATCCGTCTCTGCTTTTTTCTTCGACCGTAGTGCTGTCATTGCTGCTTGCTGCGTAGTGCTTGGATAATTTTAAGAAATGGCATTTAGTAGATTGCTGTACAAACTCGTCTTCAACATATACTTCACTCTGATTGGCTCACTCTTTACCGGTAAACCTAGCCTCCTTATGCGTCATTTCGAGCGCATGCATCGAGATATGCACCCGGCGCGAGCTTTAGCCAATCACAGGCCTCACATTGGCCGCATGCGGCCTCACGGCCCGGTTGGGAATGGGCCTTTCCCGCAGACAAGAATATAATATAAGCGAATAATTCCTTTCATCTCTCCATTGTAATATAAAATATAAAATCGCCATAATTACTATTCTGAGGTGGCCAAATGTGGGAAGACACTAATGTGCAGCACGTCCGCACCTGCTGCTTGCGCACCTCTCGCAGCTCCCTCTGCATCTTTTGAGCCCTTGCACATTTCTATCCGACATCACGTGAACATTTTACCTCGAAGTATATTGCGTATCTGCAGATAGGTCACCTGGCTAAAGTATTTTTGGTAGGCACCCATTTTGATGTGCCCGTTTGGGTCTACTTGAGATGTTCCTATCCGTACGATCAAGATCTACATCATCAGGTTGCTGCTAAATCTACCAACGCTGACCATGGGGTGAGCGTGAAGCGGGTTTCTTAGGTTCAACTGATATCTTGGTGACACTTCCTTAATTGAATGATGACGGAGAGTCCTGAAGAACCGCAAACACAAGAAGTGAAGGAACACTTAGCTGAGCCACCAAACCTCAGTAATACCCTTAGCTAAGAATAAAATGCTGGTTCCCGGCGCTATAACTACGGAAGGGTGTGTCTGTACTGCGCAAGGGCTATTCGATTAGATTCAATTATAATAATAAATGAATCTGTGGCGCAATCGAATTTTGCTATGGACGGTACACAAGATACCACTTTGCAAACAATCAAGATGTCCAAAGCCAATCACGAGCGTATCTCACGGGTTCCGAATGCTCATCCACGCGCAACTACTGCAATGGATTGGAGGACGGTCTCAGCAAAAACTTGTTGCTGAGGCCTTGTGATCACAAGGCCCACTTTCCGATTTGCATTCTTCGGCGCACAACTCCGTCCAGCTTCGAAGAAAGAATTAAGATGAACAAGTTTCTGGTACGAGGTCTTGGCTTCTACAACGACGCGTACGACCTATTTGTCATGAACGTGGTCAACGTCGTGCTCACGGAGCAGTACGGCTCTGAAATCTACTCGTCCACAATGAAGTCCTGGGTCTCGGCTGGTGCTATCATCGGTGCTGTGATCGGTCAACTCGGCTTTGGCTTCCTGGGCGACGTCTTTGGTCGTAAGGTCAACATGATCTTCACGTGCTGCTTGTTGATACTCGGCGGCATTCTCTGTACCGCAGCGTACGCGGGCGACGCCCGGGCCACGCTCTGGTTCCTCGTGGCTGCACGTCTCATTTTGGGAGTCGGTATCGGCGGTGAATATCCGCTAGCAGCCAGTTCAACAGCCGAGGACTCGACGGACTCAGCAGATCGCAATACCGCGGTGGCCAAGACCTTCTCCCTACAAGGTGTGGGCCAAGTGACGGCTGCTATCCTGGGCAACCTGCTCGTACAGGCGTTTGCTGATGGTAAGCCCGGTGAAAATAGTACTTCCCGTCTGGAAGCCGTTTGGCGCATACTATTCGCGATTGGAGTCGTACCCGCCCTTGTGGTCTGCTACTTCCGCTTCACGGCCGAGGAGTCTGCAGCATATCAGAACGCGCAGCAACGTGGCCAGCTGACACAGGCCACAACACAGCAACCGGCTCGTCTCAGTTTCATTCTTCGACATTACGGTGTGAGCCTACTAGGCACAGCTGGCACGTGGTTTTTGTTCGACATCGTCCACTACTCGCAGAACCTTTTCTCCGCCAGTATCTTGAAGGTCGTGGGTCTCAGCAATCCGTCACTTCAACAAGTGACCACAGAGGTCGCGTTCGTGTCGCTGATGGCGTTACCCGGTTACTTTGTGGCTGTGTACGCTATCAACCGATTGGGTCGCAAGAATATGCAGCTGCAAGGTTTCTTCTTCATGACGATCTTGTGTCTCGTCATG